TCTATTCACAATACCATTGTTTTACTCCATGATATGTGGAGATAATTCTCAAGACAGTGAGGTAGGTTAAATCAGCATTAGCAGCCTACAGGAATTTGCTTGGGATGATAGCTATAATGAAGTACAAATACATTATAATGATTTATAAATCACAGAACACTGTTATCATCTAAAAATTGTATTTCACTGCAGTCTTCTAAGATTTGTATTTTTAAGATTCTGATTTTTTTTGTTTTTGTTTTAGAGGTCATTTGAATGTCTTCTACATATTACTGGATAGTTTACTGATGTAATTATTCTCTGTGTTTCTGTTACATAGGCTATTTGTAGCTTAATGTTCCATTGCCATTTTAAAATTTAATCAATGATTTTTTTTATAAACAAAGGGGAAACATTATAAACAGACAAAACAATAAACAGTTTCCAGATGACACAATGGGAATTTCTGTTATTTCTGTCTCATCCTATACAAACACAGGGATAGTCAATGAATCTAAAGGGAAGGAAACTGAAACCTGATAGAAGTAAATACTTTTCTCACATGTCCTGCAGAGAGCTCATGGAACTCATTGACACAATAAACCATTGAGGCCCAGCCCCAAGGAAGATTCAGAGAAGGAATTAAACATTTATGTAGGCAATAAGAATACCCAGAGCTATAATAATACATATTAAAAATAAATAAGGATTTAAACCCTCTTGCTTCAGGTCATAATCCAGCCTCCAACTATTAAGGGTCAAGTACTGAAAACTATTTTTGGAAATTTTCCTTGTGGACAGGTTAACCCATAACTGCACGTTGGGGGCGCTATTGCACCTTTTTTGAAATAACTGGTGCAAGCCACTGTTGATGACAGGACACTGAATGAACCAGACCACTGATCTCAGAAGCACTGATTTTCCACTTTCCCTGATGGTGCTCAATCCCTCCTCTGCCTCTGGCTCTGCCCCCCCTCCTTCCTTCAAGACCCCATACCCACCATGATTCTGCCTGATCCACCACATCTCCCCTTCTTTGAGAACACCCTGCCTTCCCTCCACATCTCCCTCCAGAGCCTCTTTCAGCCTCTGAACAGCTGATCTCAGCAGGCGATGGGAAAGACGGAGAGACACTGCTCAGCAGGGCTGCCAGTGTGTGCTGAGCACCCACTGTTGTTTCCTGTGGGTACTTCAACCCCTGGAGTTGGCACCTATGACTGATCTAATCAACTAGGGCAATTTCTGTGTTTTCATACCTGATGCACCAGAATTGCCTCTTGAGTTTTATTCATGCTGCTGTGTTGGCAGGGAGTGAGTGAGCTGTACAACAGCAGTTCATTACTCCTATGGAGGGCAAAAGGTGCTTCTCACCTCTACCATCTGTCCTGCGGAGTAGGGGCTAAGCTTCACGTTTTAAGTCTCTTTCCAGCCTCTCTACAGTAAAGGGCTCTGGGAGGCTGCATCTGGCTGCCCCCTGGATTATTTAGCAGAGTTACTTGATGTCCTGATTTGTTGGGAACAGTACAGGCAGTCCATGGGTTACGTACAAGATAGGGACTATAGGATTGTTCTTAAGTTGAATTTGTATGTAAGTCGGAACTGGCGTCCAAATTCAGCCGCTGCTGAAACTGATCAGCGGCTGACTACAGGAAGCCCTAGGCAGAGTTGTTCTGCCCCCGGCTTCCTGGAATCAGCCGCTGATCAGTTTCAACAGCGGCTGGATCTGGACACCAGTTCCGACTTCATACAGATTCAACTTAAGAACCCCAGGCGTCCCCAAGTCAGCTGCTGCTGAAACTGATCAGCAGCTGATTCCAGGAAGCCCGGGGCAAAGCA